CACCTACAGCACCCAATGTCATAGGAAGGCCAAAAATATCATCAAGGACATCAACCACCCGAGCCACTGCCTGTTCACCCTGCTATCATCCAGAAGGTGAGGTCAGTACAGGTGCATCAAAGCTGGGACCGAGAGACTGAAAAACAGCTTCTATCTCAAGGCCATCAGACTGTTAAATAGCCATCACTAGCACATTAGAGGCTGCTGCTGCCTATTTGAAATAACTGGCCACTTTAAGAAACGGAACACTAGTCACTTTAATAATGTTTACATATCTTGCATTACTCATCATATGTATATACTGCATTCTATTCTATAATATTCTACTGTATCTTAGTCCATGCCGCTCTTTCATTGCTTGTCCATATATGTATATACTCTTAAATTCCATTCCTTACTAGATTTGTGTGTATTGGGTATATGTTGTGAAATTGTTAGATACTACTTGTTAGATATACTGCACTGTCGGAGCTAGAAGCACAAGCATTTCGCCACACCCGCTATAACATCTGCTAAACACGTGTATGTGACAAATACAATGTGATTAGATTTGATTTGAAAAACTGTTTTAAGACAAGAAAAACTAGTAGTGATGATGCTCATTGACGTTGTTACAAATGACGGGGAACAAAACAACCAAAAGTGACATTTTGACAATATTGCCATTATAACAACACACTTGTCACTCCCCCGTCTAAATCGCTTCGCCACAGTAGGGATCAATCAAGTCACTTGCCGATAATGTTGCATTCAACATTACGTACAACGTTAGCCCTAGATGCCTTCAATTGCCCAATTCATGGGTATGCCCAATTTAGGCATATTGGTTTTTTTTACCAACGTGATGTTGCGCTCCAAAAGGATAAATTCAAATAGCATGATGTAGGTAACTGAATAATCGAAAGAGAAACAGGTTTATTAGCCTAGTGGTTATAAGTATTTGGTCATGTCATGTGACTCATAAAATAAGGCCTACTGTTGCACGTAGATCTAGATGATTTCTAGATTGATAATATCAAAACAGAAATATTGAAATATCATTCAAATCTTTTTAACAACTCCAAAGCAATTGCATGTGGTACAGGAACAACTGACTCTTTGCATGTTTCTATAATCAACACACCTGCTGGTAACTCATAACTGGTGAGGACTACTCCTGAGGTGTCCTGGTAACTCATAACTGGTGAGGACTACTCCTGAGTGTCCCCGGTACTCATAACTGGGTGAGGACTACTCCTGATAGGTGTCCCTGGTAACTCATAACTGGTGAGGACTACTCCTGAGGTGTCCTGGTAACTCATAACTGGTGAGGACTACTCCTGAGGTGTCCTGGTAACTCATAACTGGTGAGGACTACTCCTGAGGTGTCCTGGTGACTCATAACTGGTGAGGACTACTCCTGAGGTGTCCTGGTGACTCATAACTGGTGAGGACTACTCCTGAGGTGTCCTCAATATCTTTCCACTAGGTCTGACTCTTCTGACTAAAGAGGTTTCATGCTTTTATTTTGACCCATAAGCCTAGGAGTAAAATGACTCTATTCTCAGCACAATTATCTACTCCGAGACGCTTTGTGCCGCTAAAGGATCAGTTTTCTCTCTCTGCCCTATATCTGCTACTCCTTTGGCACCATTACGAGATAAACAGATCTGTCAGGAAAATGTCCTGCTTTTGTGGGTGCTTGTTTTTAAATCTCAAACACAAACCCTTATCTAAGATGTGTAGTTAAAGGTACTTGCTGCTACCAATTTGTGCTTCTGATCTAGCTGCAGTTTACAGTTGGTTTCATATTTCATACTAGAGTAAGGAAAACACACAACTGCATTTGGTTAGCTGCGTTAGCTGCATAGGTTACTGTGGGGCCTGTGTAATAGGTGTATCATAAAACAGCAACATTTCAGCAGGACAGAGGCCTTTACTTAGATCTATAACATTACAACATTATACCTTTTTAGAGCTTTTACCAATCTTTTTTAGAACATTCTCCATACAAGGGTGTCTTTGCCCCCCCCCCCCCCTAGGGTTATGGCTGCCACTGAGGGTGAGAGTCTGCCTCTGTTTTCAGCTAGATACATTCAGGTCAGTCTTGTTTTAGGTGAGAGTCTTCCTCAGTTTTCACGTCAGTTCTGTTTAGTTAAGAGTCTTCCTCTGTTTTCATATACATTCAGGTCAGTCTTGTTTAGGTGAGTCTTCCTCTACTCCTCCGTGGAAGCAAGAAGGGAAGGTTTCTTTATGAACTGATCTGGGACCTTGCCTGGTCCCAGATCTGTCTGTGCTGTCTTGCCAACTCCTATGGTTATTGTCAAAACATGGCCCTCTTCAATCAGTATGATCAAATAATGGTTTTAGGTTAGTGCTGTTGCTCAGGGTGATAGCATTTGCTACATTTTAGTCTTTTTTTTGTCATTTAGCAGACGCTCTTATCCAGAGCAACTTACAGTTAGTGCATACATTCTTTTATATTTTTCATACTGGCCCCCCATGGGAATCAAACCAACAACCCTGGCGTTGCAAACACCATGCTCTACCAACTGAGCTACATCCCTGCCGGCCATTCCCTCCCCTACCCTGGACCAATTGTGCGCCGCCCCATGGGTCTCCCGGTCGCGGCCGGCTACGACAGAGCCTGGATTCGAACCAGGATCTCTAGTGGCACAGCTAGCACTGCGATGCAGTGCCTTAGACCACTGCGCCACTCTGGAGTCATTGTCACTCGGGAGTCATTGTCTTGCTTCACAGATAACCAGTAGCCAGTATAAATGTATCGATAGTATTAATGGTGTTGAATGTGTTAGAGTAGAGGAGAGTTGCTGTCATATGTCAGGTCCACTTGGTTTTTAATATACTGCACAAAAATATAAACGCAACATGCAACAATTTCAAATATTTTATAAGGAAATCAGTCAATTGAAATAAATTCATTAGGCCCTAATCTATGGATTTCACATGACTGGGAATACAGATATGCATCTGTTGGTCACAGATACCATATTTTTTTTTTAAGTAGGGGCATGGATTGTGGCCCGTGGAATGTTGTCCCATTCCTCATCAATGGCTGTGCGAAGTTGCTGGATATTGGCGGGAACTGGAACACGCTGTCGTACACGTCAATCCAGAGCATCCCAAACATGCTCAATTGGTGACATGTCTGTTGAGTATGTAGACCATGGAAGAACTGGGACATTTTCAGCTTCCAGAAATTGTGTACAGATCCTTTGTGAAATGGGACCGTACATTATCATGCTGAAACATGAGGTTATGACGGAGGATGAATGGCACGACAATGGGGCCTCAGGATCTCGTCACGGTATCTCTGTGCATTCAAATTGCCATCGATAAAATGCAATTGTGTTCGTTATCCGTAGTTTATGCCTGCCTGTACCATAACCCCACCGCCACCATGGGGCACTCTGTTCACAACGTTGACATCAGCAAACCGCTCGCCCACACGACGCCATACACGTGGTCTGCGGTTGTGAGGCCGGTTGGACATACTGCCAAATTCTCTAAAACAACATTGGAGGCGGCTTATGGTAGAGAAATGAACATTACATTTCCTGGCAACAGCTCTGGTGGACATTCCTGCAGTCAGCATGCTCAAAACTTTAGACATCTGTGGCATTGTGTTGTGTGACAAAACTGCACATTTTAGAGTGGCCTTTTATTGTCCCCAGCACAAGGTGCACCTGTGTAATGATCATGCTGTTTAATCCGCTTCTTGATATGCCACACCTGTCAGGTTGATGGATTATCTTGGCAAAGGAGAAATGCTCACTAACAGGGATGTAAACAAATTTGTGCACAACATTTTGAGAGAAATAAGCTTTTTATGCATATGGAACATTTCTGGAATCTTTTATTTCAGCTCATGAATCATGGGACCAACACATTACAATTAGCGTTTATATTTTTGTTCAGTGTAGATTAATGGTATGTAGGTTATTGTGTCTAAGAGTAGGTTAGGTATGCTGGACTTGTTTGAGTGCATTGAGTCAGAACTATGTGTAACAGTGTCACTACATTCCAGGTACTTGAAAATTATATACGCTCCGCCTTCACAGGGTCGTAAATACATCAGACAAAACCCACATGTGGATTTAGGCATTTCAATGACTTAACCTTTTGAGTTGAATCCGTTTTTTCTTTGTGTTTCATCTTATAAGTAAGCCTCGATATGGATATCGGAATTCAATAATTTGAATTTAATCAATCACCTGGCAAGGAATGAACTATCAAATAAATGATGAGATAATCAAACACTGAGAGAATCTTTGAAACTGCTGCTGAGGCCTTTTCCCAGAGAACCGAAATAGAATCCTTAGAACTGCTTTTACTTCCTGCTTTGCTTTGGTACACTCAAAATGGCTGCCAGTCCACCCACATCATCGACTTGAATACAGGGTTGCCAGGTAACGTACAACGCCTCCTGGCGGCCATGTTGGAAGACCATCGCATCAATTCTTCCGACAACAACAGCTGAGTGGCTACCTTAAACTGCATGATAACAGTGCCTAAAACTAGTGTGCAGTATTTGGCTGCTCTAACAAGGCAGGAAAGACAACAGGGATTTTTTTTTTTTTTACAGATTATGCGCAATCATAAAACACCAAGGAGATAGCTACCTAGCTACAAATGCAAGTTTGTGTCTTAAATTTAAAATGACAAATACATGAAGATAGTTAACTAGTTAATATGAAGTTAGCTAGCTGGTGATATTTAGTTCACTAAGCTAGCTAGTTAGCTAACATTACATTAGCAGCTAATTTAAGTTAGCCTGCCCACTAAGTTCCTGTAGCAAGCTAGCTAGCTAATAATACATTGTTTATAATTATCTAAATATATTTACTTACTTGAATAGGTTCTCCCACTGCCTCTGTTTTCTGGGTCCTCAGAAAAATGAAATAATGGGTAATCTTCCTGATGTTTACGGTGGTTGCAAAATGCAGCCAGCATTGTGGACGATTAGAGGACTTCCACCCGGCTGACTCTGGTCTTCCAACATGGCGCCCCGTGTGGTTGCTAGGTGATTTGTGACGCAACTGTAACCCATCTATAGGGAAGCCGGTTTTCCTCATTCTAGTCCTGTGAGATAACCTGAACCTTGACTCTTAACCACAGCTAGCCGTCTCTCATCTTGAACCAAACATTGCTTCTGAGGCTTTGAAGCTCTAACTGGTCTCTCACACACACACACACACACGCATGCACACACACACACACGCACGCACGCACGCACACACACACACACACACACACACACGCACGCACGCACGCACGCACGCACACACGCACGCACACACACACACACACGCACACACACGCACACACACACACACGCACACACACACACACACACACGCACGCACACGCACGCACACACCGTCCTGTTTGTCCTGTTTGGGACCAGGCAACTGTCTCAGGCTGTATTCTTCTTCCTGTTTGGGACCAGGCAACTGTCTCAGGCTGTATTCTTCTTCCTGTTTGTGACCAGGCCTCTGGAATAGCAGTCCATGACGACGTCGTGCTCACGTTTGACAAGATCAGAGTTCGCCTCCAGGGAGCCGATAAGCAGGAGCAGCTGAAGCTGGTGCTCTTCAAGATCAGCGACGATGGGAAATGTATCATTGTGGACGAGGAGAAATGCCTGAAGGTAATAATAATTATATGTAATAATAATAATAATAATATGCCATTTAGCAGACGCTTTTATCCAAAGCGACTTACAGTCATGCGTGCATACATTTTTGTGACATTTGACATTTAGCGTTCACTTTTATCCAAAGCATAACTTTTTTTTTTTTTTTTTATGTATGGGTGGTCCCGGGAATCGAACCCACTATCCAGGCGTTGCAAGCACCATGCTCTGCCAACTGAGATCCAAAGGACCATATATTTTGGCATTTTAAGCTTGTCTCAATTAATCGTTCCTCGATTCCTTGCATCCTCTCTCCTCGCTTATTTCCCAAAATGCATTGGAGGAGAAGGTCCAAGGGGAGGGACCTTCTCCTCATTTTACTACTGAGATGGAATCAAGGATATAGGATGCGAGGAATCACAGAAAGAATTTAGGGGCTGTGTCCTAAATCTCACAGGGCTCTGGTCAAAAGTAGGGCACTATATAGGGAATAGAGTGTTTTGTACTCAATTGAAGAGTTCAGGCGACTAGAATGTTAGAGACTTTAAGCATCATCCATTCATGACGCGCTACCTTGTTCTAATTCTAGACATTCAGGTACAGTGCCTTGCTAAAGTATTCATCCCCCTTGGCGTTTTTCCTATTTTGTTGCATTACAACCTGTAATTTAACTGGATTTTTATTTGGATTTCATGTAATGGACATACACAAAATAGTCCAAATTGCTGAAGTGAAATGAAAAAAATAACTTGTTTCAAAATATTCTAAAAAATAAATAACAGAAAAGTGGTGCGTGCATGTGTATTCACCCCCTTTTGATATGAAGCCCCTAAATAAGATCTGGTGCAACCAATTACCTTCAGAAGATTGCAGTATCTGTCCATAGGACCACTTTAAGCCGTACACTCCACAGAGCTGGGCTTTACGGAAGAGTGGCCAGAAAACAGCCATTGCTTAAAGAAAAAAATTAGCAAACATGTTTGGTGTTTGCCAAAAGGCATGTGGGAGACTCCCCAAACATATGGAAGAAGGTACTCTGGTCAGATGAGACTAAAATTGAGCTTTTTGGCCATCAAGGAAAACGCAATGTCTGGCACAAACCCAACACCTCTCATCACCCCGAGAACAACATCCCCACAGTGAAGCATGGTGGTGGCAGCATCATGCTGTGGTGATGTTTTTCATCGGCAGGGACTGGGAAACTGGTCAGAATTGAAGGAATGATGGATTGCGCTAAATACAGGGAAATTCTTGAGGGAAACCTACTTCAGTCTTCCAGAGATTTGAGACTGGGACGGAGGTTCACCTTCCAGCAGGACAATGACCCTAAGCATACTGCTAAAGCAACACTCGAGTGGTTTAAGGGGAAACATTTAAATGTCTTGGAATGGCCTAGTCAAAGCCCAGACCTCAATCCAATTGAGAATCTGTGGTATGACTTAAAGATTGCTGTACACCAGCGGAACCCATCCAACTTGAAGGATAGATGTGCCAAGCTTATAGAGACATACCCCAAGAGACTTGCAGCTGTAATTGCTGCAAAAGGTGGCTCTACAAAGTATTGACTTTGGGTGGGTGAATAGTTATACACGCTCAAGTTTTCAGTTTTTTTGTCTTATTTCTTGTTTGTTTCACAAGAAAAAATACTTTGCATCTTCAAAATGGTAGGCATGTTGAGTAAATCAAATGATACAACCCCCCCCAAAAATCAATTTTAATTCCAGGTTGTAAGGCAACAAAATAGGAAAAATGCCAAGGGGGGTGAATACTTTTGCAAGCCACTGTAGCATTGTTTAAAATTCTGAAAATTCTATAATATAATGTAACGTGGCTGTCATAGAATTACGTAGTGTCATGTTAATGCTTTAAAATGCAGAAACCGCAATGTCCAAACTTTCCTACTATTTTAATTAGGGTTATGGTTAGTAACGTGAGCATCTAGAAAAAATGCTATATAACTGCAATCAATTAATCAATTACCAATCAATTAAGGTCAAGGACCTGAACGGGGAGGAGGACGTATTCAGGAAGATCGTCAACATGATGCCCACGGATGACTGCCGCTATGCCCTGTACGACTGTTCCTGGGAAAGCAAGGACAGCCCCAAGGAGGACCTGGTCTTCATCATGTGGTAGGTTGGACCATATAGTTAGAATAACTACCGCTGTACGACTGCCCCTGGGAGATGAAGGAAGGCGATAGGTGGACAGTAGATCATGTGGTAGGTTGAACCGTAGAATTAGAATGACATGTACTGTACCACCATGAATAACACTACCATGTCAGCCGTATTGAGTGGAGGGAGTGAGAGAGAGAGGATTTGGACATTGACTCAAGGCAGAATGTTTGGAGCGCTTTCTAAACGTTGTATTTTTTTCTGTTTGAATTGCAGGGCTCCGGAACACTCAACTATCAAAAAGAAAATGAAATACGCCAGCTCAAAACAATACATTAAAGCAAAGTTCCAAGGTAAGAGTTTGGGTATTCTCAGTTCTGCTTCAAGACTTTCATCCAATCACCTTCCCAGCATCAGGGGGGGATATGTCCATTAGGTACCAAACGGAATAAAATGGACTGAAACAGGGAGAGACTGCCTGGACTTGTCCAATAAGATCGCTGCATATTGCATGCTAGAATCCGCAGTTGCTACATCCATTTTTGGATTTATTGATGAATCATTATACCCATTGATTCTTGAAAAATATAACTTATAAATGCCTCATGAGCTCACTTCAACTGTTGTTCCCAGTGGCGTGTCCAGAACATTTTGAATGGGGTGGCCAAGGTGGGGCACAGACCCAGTTTAGGGGGGCCATAACATTATTAACCTTAACTGAGTTTTTTCTATATTATTATGATGGTTCAACGCATGAAATACTTCAGCTTAGGTTTGGTATACAGTACCAGTCAAAAGTTTGGACACATCTACTCATTCCAGGGTTTTTCTTTATTTTTACTATATTCTACATTGTAGAATAATAGTGAAGACATCAAAACTATGAAATAACAAATATGGAATCATGTAGAATCTCAAATTATTTTATATTTGAGATTCTTCAAAGTAGCCAACCTTTGCCTTGATGACAGCTTTACACACTCTTGGCATTCGCTCAAACCAGCTTCATGAGGAATGCTTTTCCAACAGTCTTGAAGGAGTTCCCACATATGCTGAGCACTTGTTGGCTACTTTTTCTTCACTGCGGTCCAACTCATCCCCAAACCATCTCAATTGGGTTGAGGTCGGGGGATTGTGGAGGCCAGGTCATCTGATGCAGCACTCCATCACTCTCCTTGGTCAAATAGCCCTTTCACAGCCTGGAGGTGTGTTTTGGGTCATTGTCCTGTTGAAAAACAAATGATAGTCCCACTAAGCGCAAACCAGATGGGATGGCGTATCGCTGCAGAATGCTGTGGTAGCCATGCTGGTTAAGTGTGCCTTGAATTTTAAATAAATCACTGACAAGGTCACCAGCAAAGCACCATAACACCTCCTCCTCCATGCTTTACGGTGGGAACTACACATGCGGAGATCATCCATTCACCTACTCTGCGTCTCACAAAGACACTGCGGTTGGAACCAAAAATCTCAAATTTTGACTCATCAGACCAAAGGACAGATTTCCACCGATCTAATGTCCATTGCTCGTGTTTCTTGGCCCAAGCAAGTCTCTTCTTCTTATTGGTGTCCTTTAGTAGTGGTTTATTTGCAGCAATTCGACCATGAAGGCCTGATTCACACAGTCCCCTCTATACAGTTGATGTTAAAATGTGTCTGTGACTTGAACTCTGTGAAGCATTTATTTGGGCTGCAATTTTTGAGGCTGGTAACTCTAATGAACGTATCCTCTGCAGCAGAGGTAACTCTGGGTCTTCCTTTCCTGTGGCAGTCCTCATGAAAGCCAGTTTCATCAGTGCGCTTGATGGTTTTTGCGACTGCACTTGAAGAAACTTAAAATGTTATTGAAATGTTCCGGATTGACTGACCTTCATGTCTTAAGGTAATGATGGACTGTCTTTTCTCGGCTTATTTGAGCTGTTCTTGCCATAATATGGACTTGGTCTTTTACCAAATAGGGATATCTTCTGTATACCCTCCTACCTTGTCACAACACAACTGATTGGCTCAAATAAAATAAGAAGGAAAGAAATTCCACAAATTAACTTTTAACAAGGCACACCTGTTCATTGAAATGCATTCCAGGTGACTACCTCTTGAAGCGGGTTGAGAGAATGCCAAGAGTGTGCAACGCTGTCATCAAGGCAAAGGGTGGCTACTTTGAAGAATCGCAAATATAAAATATATTTAGATTTGTTTAACACTTTTTTGGTTACTACATGATTCCATATGTGTTATTTCATAGTTTTGATGTCTTCACTATTATTCTACAATGTAGAAAATAGTAAAAAATAAAGAAAAAACCCTTGAATGAGTAGGTGTGTCCAAACCTTTGACTGGTACTGTATATCCCTGTTCAAATAAATCATAAATCAATTCCAAAAGTCTTGTTGCAGTGTTTGCATTCAGTATATTCACTTGAAAGTGCCATCCAGAGTTGAATTATTCTGTGACATTCGTGGTTGTCTATGTTTTTAAGGGGACCTCCTATGTGAAAATACATTATAGTAAAGACATGTAAACGTGTGACCTTTTTTAATGTGTCATGAACACAACCAGTCGTGATGTTTTCATCTGATTGTCAAACAAATCACTTCAGAAAGTCGGTTAAGTAGGTTAAAAGCACACGTTCGTCTACTCCAAAATAAGTCCAGCATCCGAACAGTGCACTGTGCACCCCCCATTTGAATGGAAAGGGATATTTATTACAAACACCATATGTGTAATTGCATTCATCCTACAAAGTAGCATGTATTCATGGATGCCAAGGGAAGCCAGGCTTCACCCCCCCCCCCAAAAAAAAAAAATATCTAATTTGTGTCTATCCGTGTTTCATAATTTTCCTTCAATTCACAATCTATTTCACCAAAGAAAGCATCCGAGGCAAACAGTGCCCCTCTGTCTTAATATCTGTAGCCCATGTTTCTGATGATGTCTGGCCAAAAAGAATAATGACATGTAATACTATTTTTGGCCAGACAGCATCAGATACATGGGCTACGCATGCCAAGACAGAGGGGCGCTCTTTCGCTCGCTCAGGTGCTTTCTCCGGTGAGATTGATAAGTCTTTCCTTCGGTACGCGTCTTGGTCAAAATGATCAATATATTTAGAGACAACCTATCAGATCTGGAGCGGCCACCCCCTGGACACGCCATTGGCCGTACCCCATCAGAACCCAAAATATAATATTATTTTTTTTACTCCAATGTTTCGTCGACAAGAAATGTAAACAAACACTGTATAGCCTCAAAACATGAATAAAACTATCATTTTGATATCATGGGATGGTCAGAATTTGAGTGGTTACACTTCCCCAGGCACCATCCGTCAGCTTTTTACCAAAACGGAGACTGGGTGCCCACTTTGTTATTGTTACAAGTGCGGATTCTAGCGGACAGTAGCCTGGTGAATGACACAGTAATGACAGACTAGTGGGCTGAGGATGGTTTGTAGCAGTCTAAGCCAGGTCCTCCAGACACTGCTGCGGTTCGAAACCGGCCCAGTGATATTACTCTCCTCTATTTTCCATCCCCAATAAAAAAAAAAAACTAAAATATGTGAGGAGTGGGACTCCTTTTAAAAAAAAAAGGAGAAATAACTGACTGTCTGTGTTCTCGTGTGTTTCACAGGTCTGAAGTTTGAGTGGCAGGTGAACGACATGTCAGACGCCAAAGACAGCTCTGCCTTCATTGATAAACTGGGAGGGAGAGGAGTTGTTAAAAAACTGGAGGGGAAAGAGGTCTAAGGTCCTGACTCCTGACGCCACCATACAACATGGAATCAAAAACCAGACCTGGGTTCAAATAATATTTGAAATCCTTCAGATACTTTCAGCATTCGCTTAAGCCTGCTTAAGAGTGGGTGGGCTGTTTAAAAAACAACAACTGTTTTTACGTTTGGGACTTTTCTATTGCTTCCATTGCAACAGGCAAGTGCAATCAAGTATTTGAAATGAGTTCGAATAGTATTTGAACCCAGGTCTGTTCAAAACACCGACGCAAAAGCAGCCCATTGCCTGTGTCCAATTGAACTGTCCATCAACAGAGTATGGTAGTTGATTTGGTCTTTATAAAAACATGCCTTGGTCAAAGGCAGATTGGTGATAAAACAGCTACTCATGTAGACATTTCATACTTTTTCAGACATAACTGCTTCATGATTTATACAAATTCACATGTATTTTCTTGTAGGCTTGGGGTTAGTATAATCCAGAATGTGATTTTATTTTTGGCATCCCGTGTCTATTGACTCTGTTCCAGACCAATCATCTGATACAATTTTAAGCGTACTATTCATGTCACACCTTCCATGTTTGCTGATGTTTGGTTGAAATTCGAAAATGTCACTAAATGTATTGTTAAAAAAAAAGGAAGATACCTCCACAGAATGTGATGCAGAAGTCCACCCTTCTAATAAAGAGAAAATTCCCGATGTGTCTACGTCCCCTTTCATTCTTATGTAAGCTGGCCTGCCTGCAATTCTGTCCCGGCTGTCTGTCTGTCTGTCTGTCTGTCTGTCTGTCTGTCTGCAGTATTCCATTTGATACCACAGAGACTTGACACTAAAGGTTGCACTATTGTCCGGGGCAATTGTCAACAGAGCAGTCGGGCAAGTTAAGTCTGGTGTTGATTCTGGTGTTATACTTTGTTATATGTGGTCCTCTGTAGCTCAATTGGTAGAGCATCGGCGCTTGTAACGCCACGGTAGTGGGTTCGATCCCCCGGGGACCACCCATACGTAAAAATGTATGCACGCGTGACTGTAAGTCGCTTCGGATAAAAGCGTCTGCTAAATGGCATATTATTATAGAGAAGCTTCTCAGGAACACAGAACTTTATTTTATGAAAATACAGTGTTTTCCACAAGCACATGGAGTAGTCAGCCAAATAGAAGAGGTAGCCAGCCAGGATCCCCCGGGAACAAAGCTCTATTTTGGTGGCCTTTAGTACATTCTAATGCCTTGATTCCATCCAAAATACATCAAAATTATTGAATACTTTCTTGAGTTTACCTCTCAAATTGGAAACGTGTTGTTGTATTGTGTTTACAATTTCAATTACTGAAAATGTATGAATTCAGTGTATTGTCATTTTTGGGGGGATATCGACTAGGCCCTATATATTCAACTGGTGGACCGCGGACCGGATCCGGACCCAGAACGGGGTCAATACAGACCACAGGTCCCAAAAATAAATTATATATATCAAGTACCAGTCAAAGGTTTGGACACACCTACTCATTCAAGGGTTCTCTTTGCTTATTTGAGCTGTTCTTGCCATAATATGGACTTGGTCTTTTACCAAATAAGGCTATCTTCTGTATACCCCCCTACCTTGTCACAACACAGCTGATTGGCTCAAACGCATTAAGAAGGAAAGAAATTCCACAAATTAACTTTTAAGAAGGCACACCTGTTAATTGAAATGCATTCCAGGTGACTACCTCTTGAAGCTGGTTGAGAGAATGCCACGAGTGTGCAAAGCTGTCATCAAGGCAAAGGGTGGCTACTTTGAAGAATCTCAAATGTAAAATATATTGTTATTTGTTTAACACTTTTTTGGTTACTACATGATTCCATATGTGTTATTTCAAAGTTTTGGATGTCTTCACTATTATTCTACAATGTAGAAAATAGTAAAAAAAAACTAAAAACTGGAATGAGTAAGTGTGTCCAAACTTTTGACTGGTAGTGTATTTCCCTCTTTGCAACACATGACCACACAGCTGGGCAGTGGCCAGAGGGCATTGTGGGCCGTATGTTTAACACCCCTGTGTTAAATGTTTTGTATTTCTCAATGGTACCCTTTGAGGCAAGTTATCGATATATATTCAGTTAAAACCAATGTTGTTTACATAATTGTGTACAAAAAAAAAAAAACGTGTGAATTTAATTCTTCCAAAATGTCTGGAGTTCCTATTCGTAATAGCGTCAACACCAACCCTTATGTCTATACCAGACATGGAAAAACCTTTGGCACACAAGGTAACAAATATCGCAAGCAATACACAGAGATGCAATTTCAATTGACTTTATTCTTTATTCGGCTCATGTTACATGGAGAATAAAGAACTACTAAAGCACTACATGTCAGGAGATTTTCCGGAAAGGTCCGTCTGAGAGCTTCACTCTTCATCAAGCCCTTTCTGTGACAGAAGATGGATAAAGGTTGTGAAAAATAAACCACTGTATTCTGAAAACATTGTTATTGTTATACTGTGAGTGTTCAAATGTAAATTACACAATGGGGCAACTCCAATGAATGTTTATTAATGTATGGAATACACTACATATCATGCACTAAAACACTGTTCATGAAATGGCCCTGACTTTACACCAACCGTGTTTGCTAGCAAATTAAACTAAGATTTTACAAAACTTTGCACATGAGGTGAAATGATGTCAAATCAAATCATTCAATTAACATTAAATTAATTTGGCTATTGGTTCTTCAACTACATTAGAATAAATAAATAAAATTAAACAGCAACGCTTGCCATCGCACAGTAAGTGACCACTGAAACCAGGAAGTGTGCAACTGACCTGGGAGCAGGGTCACAACTCCGGACCTCACTCCTCTTCTTTTCCTTTCTGTGACAGAAGATAGATCGATAAGAACATTGAACTCCTGCTGGAAAAACATTTATACTGCCGTATACGATCTTGCTCTAGTTAAAATTACAACGAACTTCAACAGTTAAGTAGCACAGCCTACACTTTAACAGGTATGGAAGAAACGACGAACATCATGTTTTCCACATACAGATGGTCCTGATTCCTCACATCTGCTATGTGATCAATTAAAAGTTTATAGCTTATTTGTAGTTGCAATATTGTCCAATGAACACTTCAAGTACAACGAACAGTAGATTAATTTGATTCTTAAACTATACGTATTACAGAAAATCAGTTTAAAATATGCAATGACACATAATTTTTTGGTCCCAGTTTTCTTAGGCATCCTAAAACCTATATATTTCCACTAAATTGTTGAAGTCAAAGCATGTAATGAATATCAATGTTGCTGAGTGGAGTGGTTATTACATATAATTGTCAGTAATTATAATGCTATGGGCAATTACCATGTGGCATAAGCTTTGGGTGATTTGCTACGGGGGAAATGACTAAAGGCTATTGCACACACATTGAAATATCAAATAAAATATAAGTTCTCCTTTAATTTGAATTTGTTTATCAAACTAATGAATAAAAAAAAAACAGGTGAAGTATAATCTTTGACTTGTTATTACACTGTACCTACTTCTGAAACTACCATGGAAAATAATTTAATGTAAAGTGGGGCCTTTTTTTAAGAGAGAGAGAGAATGGCCATTGGGACCATTAGCAGCAAGCTATTACATTTTGATTTGATCCTGTCTTGTATAGTTTTAGAACAAAATGGATGCCAGCAAGATCAATTAAAATAAATGTAGATATTCAGACGTTAATGATATTATGGCTGTTGGATATCACATGCCTTAAAAGTATTCAACATTAAGGCTTCAGCTAAAACATTACAATATGCAAATTATACAATGAATAGATCCTTGACAGCAACCACCGACCTTGGAACCGGCATCACGACTCTTGGCTCTCATCTTGTTGACCTGAGACTCGGCAATATCAGCCCTCTCCTCTGCCTCATCCAGTTCATGCTGAATCTTGCGGAACTTGCCCAAATTGGAATTGGCTTGTTCCTCCTGTGGAAAGATATGGATGATTCGGTCTCTGGCAAACGCAACATTTCATAAATGACAGATGCGTCAGTTGGATGGCGGAAGGTTTTTTTTGTACTTACAGCCTCCTCTGAAGTTCTCTTGTAGGATTTGACCTTCAGCTGCAGTTTGTCCACCAGGTCCTGAAGACGGGACAAATTCTTACGGTCTTCCTCAGTCTGCACCCGAAAAACAACAAGGGGGGGGTGTGGGGGAAAAGAGGGTCATATATTGACCTTAATTTGATGCTGAGCACGTTCATAGTGCAACTTCAAATTTGATGTACCTGGTAGGTGAGCTCCTTGATGCGTCTCTCGTATTTACGGACTCCTTTCACAGAATCGCCGCCCCTCCTTTGCTCCATTTCCACTTCCGTCTCTAGCTCCCTCACCTACAAAAGACATGATGGATGTTAACACACCATTTACAACTATTGTTGTTACTACTACATTACATATTGAAGCTAGAAATATGAAAAAAAAAAAAATATTCTGAATGAATAGAAGAGAAGGTCTCAAACACTTACTCTGGACTCCAGCTTCTGGATCTGCTTCTTGCCCCCCTTCATGGCGATTTGTTCAGCCTCATCCAGGCGGTGCTGCAGGTCCTTGATGGTCTGCTCCATGTTCTTCTTCATGCGCTCCAGGTGAGAGCTGGTGTCCTGCTCCTTCTTCAGCTCCTCGGCCATCATGGCAGCGTCCGTAATGGCCTTCTTGGCCTTTTCCTCGGCGTTTCTGCACTCCTGCACAGCCTCCTCCACTTCGGTCGAAAGCTGGGATGTGTCGCCCTCCAGCTTCTTCTTCTGGCTCAACAGGCTGGTGTTCTACACATAAGAATGAGGAATTACTTTCACATTCTCTTAAAACATTTTTTTTCAACTCGCGTATATTTTTGATAAGGCTGTCCGTTGTCGTCGTCCCATCGGTGCCTTGCCTGAGAGTGCAGCAGCTGAACTCTCTCACTAACGTCCAGAAGCTCCTGCTCGGCCAGTTTGCGACCTCTATCCGTCTGCTCCACCATGGACCTCAGCTCATCCAGTTCAGCCTGCATCAGGTTGTTGCGTCTCTCCACAATGGCAATGTTCTCCTTCAGGTCGTCACTGCCACGAAGAACGTCATCCAGCTGCAGCTGAGAATCCTGTGGAGAGAATTGATGATTTTAGATGTATTTGATTGCTAATTGTTTTACTGTCTTGTTTGGCGTTATTATTATAATCACAATTTAGTAGGTGTTTTTTTTGTGTGAAGGCACTAGTGTTTATGATTAAATGCTGTGGAAGTGGTACCTTCAGATGGGAATGGAGACCCTTAAGTTGCTTCTGGGCCTCTCCTGCCTGCCTGTTGGCCTGGCTGAGCTGGATCTCCATCTCATTGAGATCTCCCTCCATCTTCTTCTTCAGCCTGAGAGCTTCGTTCCTGCTGCGAGTCTCTGACTCCAGGGAGCTCTGCAGGGTTTCCACCACTCTCTGCTGGTTCCTCTTGTTCATCTCCATCTCCTCGTCCTTCTCCACCAGTTTGCGCTCAATGTCAGCTTTGACCTGGTTGTACTCCAGCTGTGCCCTCAGGATCTTGCCCTCCTCATGCTCCAGGGAGCCCTATGGCAACACAGCACACATTGACTGTAACATCTTCTAATACTTTCACCGACAGTAAATTATGTCTGTCCCTACCAGTAAATATCTTCCAGTCTCACCTCAGCTTCCTCTAGAGCAGTCTGTATCTCAGCCTTCTCTTGCTCCAGCTGTTTACGGATCTTCTCCAGCTCATGGACGCTCTTTCCTCCCTCACCAAGTTGCTCAGTCAGGTCAGAAATTTCCTCTGTGGGGGGAAAAAACAATTGCACGTCAGTATCTTGTGATAACAAACCTCTGTAATACTATTGAAATGATTGACTTTAATGATGCAGGCTAATAATACTGATTCTCTGACCTTGAAGGTTCTTGTTCTCCCTCTTCATGGTCTCCAGATGATCCAGAGACTCCTCATAAGAGTTCTTGAGTTTAAAGAGCTCAGTGCTGAGAGATCTGGCCTCTTTCTGGGAGCTCTCCAACTCAGTCTGAGACTCCTCAAATTTCTGCTTCCACTCAGCCAGGACCTGGTGGAATCACACAGGTATTGTAAATGGTTTGACTAAACATTATATGATTATCGTGAATTTATAATGAAAGTTATCCAATAATAATACCTTGTCGAAGTTCCTTTGCTTCTTGTCCAGAGCGGCAGCAGCTGCATTGGATCTCTCCACATCCACCATGAGATCTTCAATCTCATTCTGGAGTCGGTGTTTGGTCTTCTCCAGGGAGGAGCATTTAGCATTAACAGCTTCCACAGCTTCCTCTGCGTCCTGCAGACGCTGAGCCAGCTTCTTCCTAGATTGACATAGATGGGAAACACATTTCAGGACAGCTGACTTTTTTGGGGGGTCCATATATAATGGTTGTGTGTAATTCATGTACATTCATCATATACTTTTGTGTATCGCTCATTCAGCCAAGGTTGGATAGCCTTGAAAGTGAGAAAGAAATCCTTACTTTGCCTCTTCAAGCTCCTCGGTCTTCTGGATGGCATCAGTTTCATACTTGGTTCTCCACTGAGCCACCTCAGCGTTGGCCTTGGACATGCCACGCTGCAGCTCAGCCTTGGCCTCCTGCTCTTCCTCATACTGCTCCCGGAGCAGGTCGGAGTCATGGCGAGCAGACTGCACTGCATGGGCAAGTGCGTTCTTTGCCTGGTAAGGACATAGAAAAAAGATTCTGTAATTATGAAAAAATATTCTGTAATTATGAAAAAATATTCTGTAATTATGAAAAAATATTCTGTTATTATGAAAAAATATTCTGTAATTCTGAAAAAATATTCTGTAATTCTGAAGAAATATTCTGTAATTCTGAAAAAATATTCTGTAATTATGCCGGAGGATGAATGTAGTTGTATAAGGGGCTCTACGTTTATTGTATAAATACCTTGACTTCCTCCTCCAGTTGTCTCTTGAGGTCTTCAATCTGCTGAACGTTGGACTGCTTACCTCTGGTCAGTTGGGAGACCAGAGAGTCCTTCTCCTCCAGCTGTCTGGCAAGTTCACCTGTTTTCACCAAATTCATATTATTTCAATTAGTCTCGTATTGTGGACGTGGCGATTCATTGTGGCTGTTCATGTGAATGTTCATGTTAAGTTATTATACCATTCTCAGTTTGAAGCTTTGCTTTCTGCATGGTGAGATCATTGTTGAATCGTTGTCCTTCCTCAGCTTTCGTCCTGTATTCACTCATCTGGTCCTCTAGAGTGCGGCACATTTTCTCCAAGTTTGTCTGAAAACATTATGTTTTTTTTTTTTTAGATAACACAGCACAACCTTCATAGATCAATCTCTCTGAAACTAAGAGCAATATACAATGTCAATTTGCCATATCTATCTGATCTCAGTAAACGCTTGTATTTCATAATGATGAATCCACCGACCTTAGTCTTGACAATCTGCTCCATGTTGGAGACCACATCATCCAGCTCCAGTCTGAGCTCACTCTTCTCCTTCTCCAGCTTCTGCTTCACTCTCTGAAGGTTGTCGATCTGCTCTCCCAGGTCAGCCACACTGTCCGCATTTTTCTTCCTCAGAGAGGCAGCGGTAGCCTCGTGCTGCAGAGTGGCCTCTTCGAGGTCTCTGCGCACCTTCAGGAACTCCGCCTCCCTCTTCTTGTTCATCTCAATCTGGGCAGCAGTGGCTCCACCAGCCTCCTCCAGCCGCTCACTGATCTCCTCCAGCTCTCTGGACAAGTCTGCCCTCTGTTTCTCCACCTTGGCGCGGGCAGCTCTCTCGGCCTCCAGCTCTTCCTCCAGCTCCTCAATGCGGGCCTGAAATCGTGGGAATTGAAAATGATTTTCTGGTATGAGCTGAACATAAAAACAAGTTCAATAGAAAATATGATATTTTCAACAATGATATTGAAATACCTGCAACTCCTTCAGTTTCTTCTGAAGCTGGGCACTCATGGCCTGCTCATCCTCAATCTTGCTGCTGAGTTGGCTCATTTCAAAGTCCTTCCTGATGAGTAAAGCACACACAGTTTAACACTTTCTTATAAATAATTTCTTCATTCGATTTTTGGGGATTTTTGGGGAGTTGTGATCTTTTCTGTTCTAAAATAGTACCGGTATGTATGCTTTTTTATTTTAATTTGTGATCTTACTTCTTCATTCTTTCCTCCATCTGCTGCTTGTCGTTCTCCAGGTCCATTAGGCTCTCCTGGGTCAACTTCAAATCTCCCTCCAGCTTTCTCTTGGCTCTCTCAAGGTCCATCCTCACCTTCTTCTCTTGCTCCAGAGACCCTTCAAGCTGATAAAGGATAATGTTCAACAATATTCTGAGTTCCCTGTAGCCTATTTTTAAGGATACGACTATTGTGTTGTAATTTTTATCAATTCCAATTTGACACTCACGTCGTCAACTTGCTGTTCCAGTTTGGCTTTGGCCTTGGTCAGCGTGTTGACTTTATCCTCCTCACTTTGCAAGTCATCCAGCGTTTGCTGATGAGCCTCCTGCAGAGCCTTCTTCTCCTTGGTCAGCTTGGCAATGATTTCGTCCAGAGCTGCCATCTCCTCAGTCAGGTTTTTAACCTAAAGGGAAACAGAGCAGTGTCATTACAGACATTCATCCAAACCAATCGTTTTGGAGTTTAAACAATCCAAGAATGAAGATAAACGTTTTACCTTGTTCTCCGTGGCATGCTTCTCCTTCTCCACTTTAGCCAGAGTGAGCTCCAGATCGTCAATGTCCTTCTTGAGTTCTGAGCACTCATCCTCCAGCTTCCTCTTCTTAGCAGTCAGCTCTGAATTCATCTCCTCCTCGTCCTCCAGTCTCTCTGTCAGCTCTTTGGCTTTGGCCTCCAGCTGGATCTTACTCTTGATCAGACCCTCGCATCTCTCTTCAGCATCACAAATAGTGTCTTCTGACTGTCAACATGTCAATGTATTGTAAGTGTATATAAAATCCTCCAAAGTTCAGACGTTTATTTTGGTGGGAAAATATTTGGACGCTACAAATAATGGCCAATTGCTCCAGTAATTGTATGACATTTTGATTTATCAATCATGTCTCTTCCCTCTCTCTGTTTTTCCATGTCTCATGCTGAATCCCAAACCAGTCCCAAACCTTCGATTTGTGAGTTCACAAGTGCCTCCCCCACAGGTTTCGCAAAGCTGAGGGAGTAATAATTATTGAGGGGATGGGGGCTAATTAGACCCTCCGTTAGCCACTTCGACCGAGCCAGCAACGTTGTAGTCTCAAAGGCAAAGCGCTATCCCAACACACACCGGAATATGTTTGGATAATTTCATAAAAAAGAATGGAAAGGCTTGATGTGACAACGGAAGGACCTTGAAGCGAGTTGGTACGGGCGAGGGGCTGGTTTGGGATTGGGCCTCAGTCACACTGAGAACTAGAGAGGCCATTTTGACAAAGGATGTAACTGCAGCGATGTGACTGTAGTGCAATTAAAGTTACGTCAAAGTAAAGTAGAAATGTGGCTTTTACTCACAGATAGGACTGCCATTTGTAGGTCATTCTTCTCTTGGAGAAGGGAGACCATCTTCTCTTCCAACTCTTTCCTACGGGCATCCGTTTTAGCAAAAAGTTCTTTAAGCTTCAGGAATTCTTCCTTCATGTTGGCCATCTCTTTCTCAGTCTCTGCTGAAACCAGCAGAGGTTTGATCTTGAAGAACATCTTCATCCAGGGCCAATTCTTGACACCCATGAAGGCACGAATGTTCCATTGGATCACAAGCAAGGCATCCCTGTGAAAATGTAATCAATTTAGCTTTGTTATGCAACCTTTTCCACCTCCACCATATTGTCTGCAGAAGTTCTATCTATTGATTTTCCAACCTGCGGTCAACAATTTTCTGGAACTCAATTCTGGCAAGTAGACCACGTGCTCGGGCCTGCATGCCAGTGATGATGAGCGCGAGACGGTCATCTCTCATCTCCTCAAGGGTACCCAGGAGACCAGCCTTGAAGAACACCTAATAATGATAGACATATATATATACATATATATATATATGTATATATATATTTACAGTAATACAAGATCCCAGAAGTTTTCCATACGCACAAAAAGCTTATTTCTCTCAAATTTGTTTACATCCCTGTTAGTGAGCATTTCTCCTTTGCCAAGATAATCCATCCACCTGACAGGTGTGGCATATCAAGAAGCAAGTTTTGAGGGAGCGTGCAATTGGCATGCTGACTGCAAGAATGTCCACCCGAGCTGTTGCACAGAGAATTGAATGTTCATTTCTCTACCATAAGCCGCCTCCAACATCGTTTTAGAGAATTTGGCAGTACGTCCATCCGGCCTCACAACCGCAGACCACGTGTAACCACGCCAGCCCAGGACCTCCACATCCGGCTTCTTCTCCTGCGGCATCATCTGAGAACAGCCACCCGACAGCTGATGAAACTGTGGGTTTGCACAACCAAAGAATTTCTGCACAAACTGTCAGAAACCGTCTCAGGGAAGCTCATCTGGTGTTCGTCGTCCTCACCAGGGTCTTTATCTGACTGCAGTTCGGCGCCGTAAACGACTTCAGTGGGCAAATGCTCACCTTCGATGGCCACTGGCATGCTGGAGAAGTGTGCTCTTCAAGGATGAATCCCGGTTTCAACTGTACCGGGGCAGATGGCAGACAGCATGTATGACATCGTGTGGGCGAGCGGTTTGCTGATGGTTGCGGTGGGGTTATGACGAGATCCTGAGGCCCATTGTCATGCCATTCATCCACCACCATCACCTCATGTGTCAGCATGATAATGCACGGCCCCATGTCGCAAGGATCTGTACACAATTCCTGCAAGCTGAAAATGTCCCAGTTCTTCCATGGCCTGCATACTCACCAGACATGTCACCCGTTGAGCATGTTTGGGATGCTCTGGATCGACGTGTACGACAGCGTGTTCAAGTTCCCGCCAATATCCAGCAACTTCGCACAGCCATTGAAGAGGAGTGGGACAACATTCCAAAGGCCACAATCAACAGCCTGATCAACTCTATGCGAAGGAGATGTAATGCTGCATGAGGCAAATGGTCACACCAGATACTGACTGGTTTTCTGATCCACACCTACCTTTTTTTTTATTTAAGCTATCTGTGACCATCAGATGCATATCTGTATTCCCAGTCATGTGAAATCCATAGATTAGGGCCTAATGAATTTATTTCAAGTGACTGATTTCCTCATATGAACTGTAACTCAGTAAAACATAAACATACATAGATATAATATAGCTAAATATGTATATAAATACATTTTTTTTCTGCCCTTTGACTGTAAATAACTTGTGTTATCTCTCAGATTTACAAACTTGCACGTGGTGTTTAGATTATGGAATTATTACCTCCATATGAACATGGGACAAACTGACCACAAGGTGGCCCTGTAATGATCAGTTGAGTCGCAAAATTCTGCCCCCAGCTTTGAATCTCACTAACAACACCCAAATGCTACTTCTACGAAGTTTGATCAATTATCATATGACATCTAATGACCAAGGTCTTTAAAACATGTAGGGACAGTCTATCTCTAACAGCAGAATGAACTTGCATGTGGGTGTGGCCTGTAATTTAATTTAAAAACGTGCAATTGTTTTTAAGTAGCCAGATCTAGATGTCGCTAAGACAACACGTTTCTATCTGTCAGAAGTTCTTTCAAGAGGTATTGCCATAAAGTTTGATAGAGGGTGCACTTGTTTGCATGGGGTGTTGCCATAAAGTTTGATAGAGGGTGCACTTGTTTGCATGGGGTGTTGCCATAAAGTTTGATGGAGGGTGCACTTGTTTGCATGGGGCATTGCCATTGAGGGCTTTCACCATTTTGAAGTAGTCAACTAGGTGTGATTCTAAATAGGAAGGATCACAGAATTCCATCCAGGTCATCGGGAGGGGTCAGCCAATGAATGATACTCCTGAGCATTCAATAACAGCAGGAGGCAGTAAATCACCAACCTTTGATTTTAAAACCTCTTGAGATTATACACACTCTTAGCGCAATAGGTGGTGGCATGCACCCTTTTCAGTTGATTTATGAACCGCCAATACACTCACGGAAATATAAGAAATAGAAATGGTTTCCAATAGAGATAGCCCTCAATAGCGCTGTCCGTGCTGTCACAGAAGCGGCCATTGCAAAGATAAGAGATCTTTCTCTGGTACATCTCTACGGGTCAACACTGCAAATATTGACTCTTTGCATAAACTTCATGTAATTGTCAACAAAAGCCTTTGACACGTATGGAATGCTTGTAATTATACTTCAGTATACCATAGTAACATCTGACAACAAAAAATAAAAAAAATATCTCCTGACACTGAAGCAGCGAACGTTGTGAAGACCAATACTTGTGTCTCAAAACTTTTGACCACGACTGTAGATTTCTATGGGTAATAAGATAAGAGATATTTCTCTATGTTTAGTTTGGCCTCGTGATGGTTATATTGATGCTGCTTGGACCCCTTTAGTTGCTCCTATTTTCCCTCCTGATCCAACAGGACATATTGCCTTCCATCTATTTCGAGAACTTACCTTAGTGTGTCCTAATCTGTACTGGGTGTGGTCAATGTCCAGAGAGCCCAGCAGTTTTTCTGCCGCCTTCACGTTGTCGATGAACTGACCCTCAGGGATAGCATTTGGATTGAGGATGCGGTATCTGAATTAAAATCAGAAAAATAATGATCTTCAATGATGGCACACGTGGTTGGGCAAGCAGTTGGGTCATTCCACCTTTTGAGTAGTGTAGCTTTTGGTAAAACAGTTTCACCATATTAAAACGAGAGTTCAGTTAACGTAACAGGGTTGACATTAAAATGAGGGACATGTTAGTTTGTTTTTATCTTTAAATGAATCACTAATGCCATTAAATAAATAATAATCTTCAGATATGAATTTGTCAAAGCAACAAAATAACTAGGGCTTTACAATGGTGAAAACTTGGATAAATGTTGGGGTTAAGTGGGTTAAAATCCTCCTAGAAGTCACAGAGGATGAACAGAGGGACGTGTCAAAATGCTGAATTTGTTGCACATTAGCAAGTCTTTACTCATATTAAAAATCGGATTTTTAAGAATTTTCCGTGTAGTCTACATTAAAGGGCACTTCCTTTAATATAACAGGCTTTTAAAATGTAATTTTTGTGCACAATTTCTACGTGAAATATCAAAAGGGATGCAAAAGGCCCTGATTTCGTGGAATGACCCAGTTGCATTTTATTTTTAAAAAGAAAACGCGCAACCTTGTTTTTTTATACCTTTGTTTGAAGTCGGCATACAGGATCCTGTTGGGGAAGCCCTTCCTGCAGATCCTGATGCCTTCCAGCACTCCGTTACAGCGCAGCTGGTGCATGACCAGAGGATTCTCCATGGCCCCAGGAGTCTTGGTCTCGTTGGGGATGAGGCAACGCACGAAGTGGGGGTGTGTAGACCTCAAGTTGGTCATGAGTTTACCCAAGTTCTCCTGTGAGTATGACAAATGTAGAATTTTCCACCAGTGAATGAGTCTCCAAGCAACTCAAGAGTCACAACGGCATTTCATGCTAACACTGCCAAATCCACAACATGCTGGCATCTCAAATGTAGTATTTAATATTCTGCCATGTAAAAACCTCAGAAATATATTATTTAAACTCAGATCTACCCTGTGCAATGCAGAATGTAAAACCTTCAGAAATATATTAATTTAAACTCAGATCTACCCTGTGCAATGCAGAATGTAAAACCTTCAGAAATATATTCATTTAAACTCAGATCTACCCTGTGCAATGCAGAATGTAAAAACCTCAGAAATATATTAACTCATATTTACCCTGTGTAATGCAGAATGTAATATATTAATCTACCCTGTGTAATGCAGAATGTAATATATTAATCTACCCTGTGTAATGCAGAATGTAATATATGAATCAACCCTGTGTAATGCAGAATGTAATATATTACTCTACCCTGTGTAATGGAGAATGTAATATATTAATCCACCCTGTGTAATGCATAATGTAATATATTACTCTACCCTGTGTAATGCAGAATGTAATATATTACTCTACCCTGTGTAATGGAGAATGTAATATATTACTCTACCCTGCGTAATGCAGAATGTAATATATTACTCTACCCTGTGTAATGCAGAATGTAATATATTACTCTACCCTGTGTAATGGAGAATGTAATATATTACTCTACCCTGTGTAATGCAGACACAGTCTGGAAGGAAGAGCCTTTCTTCTTCTTTCCACCAGCCGCTTTGTCATCACCTGTATCATAATGAAATAACAATTCAAATACACTAGTATCACTACTATTATGTCAATTGTTATTTACTTGAGTGGTTTGCGGTCTTTGCAGACAGAAACACATCGTACCTCCTTCTGCACCAGCGTAGCTCACAAAGAGATTGGCCAGGAACTTAAGACTTGACTTCTGGAACAGTCCGACCACAGTCTCATTCAGCGGGTCCTTGTTCTTCACCAGCCAGTTGCCAATGTTGTAGTCTACAGTGCCAGCATAGTGAACCAGGGAGAAATGGGCCTCTGGTCTACCTTTAATGATCTTGGGCTTTTGGAAGCATGCATTTTTGCCCAGATGGGTGTCGTACAGCTTAGATTTGAATGTAGAATCACTGGCCTTGGGGAACATGCACTCCTCTTCAAGGATGGACATGATACCCATGGGCTAGGGGAAGGAATGAATGAAAATAAATTAATGCCAAGGGAAAAGCATAGTGAATAAATATCAGAATAATTTGTCTTGGCTCAAGGTTGCCTTTGTAATGCTAATTTTAAAAGTACTTTCATTCAAAAGTTTGAAATCACTAAGATGACCAAGGACACGTCAAATAAAACCAACTGCAAAACTGAAGACACCAACCCTTTCAATGAGGTCAATGCAGGCAGCCAAGTCCATGCCGAAGTCAATGAACTCCCAGACGATACCCTCCTTCTTATACTCCTCCTGCTCCAGCACGAACATGTGGTGGTTGAAGAACTGCTGCAGCTTCTCATTAGTGAAGTTGATGCACAGCTGCTCAAAGGTGTTGAACTGGAATAGAAGTTGGCCAGTTTATTTTGTCAGCCGTAATATTTTAGATTAATCGTTTTTATTGACGTGGCCTTTTTTATTTCTTCATAAAAATGTACATCAAACACTCACATCAAAGATCTCAAAGCCAGCAATGTCCAGCACACCAATGTAGTGCTGGCGAGCGTTCTTAGTGTCCAGAGTAAGGTTGATTCTTATCACCATCCAGAGGAACATGTTCTCGTAAATTTTCTTTGCCAGCGCACCAATTGAGTAGTACACCTGCAGAATATTGACGAAGGAAATGACTGAGACACAGGCTCAAGATGAACGCACAGGTTTCCCAGACAGACTAGGCCTTGGGCGGCAGGTAGCTTTAGTGGTTAAGAGTGTTGTGCCAGTAACCGAAAGGTCACTGGTTCTAATCCCCGAGCCGACTAGATGAAAAAATCTGTCGATGTGCCCTTGAGCAAGGCACTTAACCCTAATTGCTCTGGATAAGAGCGTCTGCTAAATGACTTAAATGTAAATGCCTAGTCCTGGACTGAACAGCATGCTTAACAGGGCATTAAAATATTAGACACTCTACACAGAAGTTTTATGATAAAAAAATTATTAGCTCTTGGAAATGTAAAACTCTTTTGAGACTCACCTGGTCGACACTCTGACCTTTGGTGACCCACTCATTTCCTACTTTGACCCTTGGGTGACACAGCCCTTTGACCAGGTCAGCAGAGTTCAGGCACATCAGATACGCAACTTTGTCAACATCTGCAAAATGCAACGTTTTACGGTTGGAGGAGGCACTTCGACCGTCTGATTTTAACACATATAATCGTACATTGAAGTGAGAGGTTTTAAATCCTCAGCGCTCACCCTCGGTGCCGTCAGATTCAGCTTGCTCCTCCCGCTGCTTGTTCTTGAACTTCATGTTGCCGTAATGCATGATGGCACCAGTCAGCTTGTAAATACCATTGATCTCTTCTTGGGAGAAGCCCAGCACATTAAAGGCATCCTAGATCAGAATAAAATAACATTTTTTTTTTTGGAGAGAAAGTTGGACAGATGAACAAGTGTAAACTGCCGTGAACTTTGAACTTACGTCAGTCGCCATCAGCTCGTCAGAATCATCAATGGAAGTTACTTTAATCTCCCCTTGGGAGATGAAGGCGTAGTCATAGGGATTGCTGGTGATGAGTAGCATCTCTGAAAAGATTTCGAACAGCTCGGTTTGAATGTGCAGTATGTCTGTGGTACTGTTTACTATTGCAGTGTTTCTCAACCTGTTTTTTTAACTGTGCCAGCTAGTTAACTGACAGAACGATCGGTAACATCCCAAGGACTGGTGCTGGTCCACAGACCAGAGGTTGAGAGACACTGATATAGTGTTCAGTAAAATAATAATAACATGCCAATTTAGCAGACGCTTTTATCCAAAGCGACTTACAGTCATGCGTGCATACATTTGTACGTATGGGTGGTCCCCGGGGATTCGAACCCACTACCCTGGGGTTACAAGCGCCGATGCTCTACCAGCTGAGCTACAGAGAACCACGGTACCTAGTTGAATGTTAATAATATAAATATAAATATAATAATGTTCTAATACTCACCTAGAAGTTCTGGTTTCTTTTGGGACAGGATCTGGTAGAAGATGTGATAGTCTCTCTCAGCCTTGAGCTGGAAAGTCACACGTGACTTCTCCAGAAGATCTGATGAGCATTAAAAAGTACACGTGTATTTTATTAATCTGCGTCAAAGAGTTTTGAAATGTTATATCGAAAAACGCCATATATCTATTTTTCAGAAATGTTGGTAAACTAGCTTTTATTGTTTAAAATAAATTAGATGAAAGAGATTGGTGTGTTTTTTTCACTATGTAATCATGGCATGGGGTTGTTTAATGACAGACATGTATTTGTTTAAAATCTATCACTTGATGGTTTCATTTCAAAGAGAAAAATAATCATGTTTTTTTTGCATAATTCTATATATCTGCCTCACTCTCAGAGAAATAAGTAGTACTGCTAGGTTTTACACAGTCAAATGTAACAAATAACTACATTTTAATTAAATAAATCATTAAAAAATTATAATTCAATACAGTAATATGAGATCTGTATGTAAATCATTTACAAATGACATTTTAGTCATTTAGCAGATGCTCTTGTCCAGAGTGACTTACAGTAAGTGCATTCATCTCAAGATAGCTACGTGAGGCAACCACATATCACAGTTAAATACACAGGATACAATCATTCCATTCCAGTTAAACTATGGATATATAGCGTTTAGCAAAAAGAACAGATTTTCATACACATCTAAAATCTATGAATTACACATCTAAACAACAGTCGTTTTACACACACACATGAAGGTCAAATAAGCAATCATTTCTGATGTAAAAAATCAAATGTTAAAAATTGGTGGATATAGCATTTTAGAAATAAACTCTTCATTTGTTCAAACCGAATCAAATGTAAATATATATATCATTTTTTTTACTTACAAGTCTCAATGTCAGCAGACGAAAGCTTCCCAGTGACACCAAAATGAATTCGGATGAATTTACCCTATAAGATTTTGCCAAGACATTTAATTAATGTGCACACATACACAAGGTAATAGGGCGATACGATTTGAATGATATGATGTGTTCTCAAACAGGAGGGGAAAAAACGTACAAATCGGGAGGAGTTGTCATTCCTGATGGTCTTGGCGTTACCAAAAGCCTCCAGGGCAGGATTGGCCTGGATGATTTGATCCTCCAGGGTCCCCTACAAACCAACATCCACACAGTGTTACATCTCCGTAATGAAAATCAATACTGTGTGAATTAAAACATGATTGAGCCGCTACAGCCAGGAAGTGGGTTTCATTTGGGACGAACGTTCTCTTCACCTTTTTCTCTTCTGCTGCACTTTTCTTTCCGGCAACAGCAGCAATGCTGGCGAAGTACTGGATGACTCTCTTGGTGTTCACAGTCTTTCCAGCACCCGATTCTCCACTGGGAATGGAAAAAATACACATTTCTCCTAATTGTAAATAGTCTCAAATTGATTTTAAACGTTGGTTTTAATGTACTTACGTGATGAGGACAGACTGGTTTTCCCTGTCTGTTGAAAGAAAAAGGAACATCAGTAAATAGCATATGTCATTTACGTGATGAAGACAGACTGATTTTCCTTGTCTGTTGAAAGAAAAGGAAGTATCAGGTAAATAACATATGTCATTTTCCAATTATAGTTTGATGTTTAGAATGTACTGTTCAGAACAGTAGCATTTTACCTGACAACATGTACTGGTAGGCATTGTCAGAGACGGAGAATACGTGAGGAGGAGCTTCTGTCCTCTTCTTGCCTCTGTACGCGTTGACAACAGACTGATCGTATACTGGCAGCCACTTGTAGGGGTTGACAGTGACACAGAACAGCCCTGAGTATGTCTGTGGAAGACGAGAAAGGTGCAGATTTAAAGTTTCGTTTATTTGAATCAATGTTTTTGATGCTGTATTGTGAAGATATCAGGTCATTGCTTACGTAGATCATCCAGGCTGCGTAACGCTCTCTGAGGTTAAACAGCACAGCGGGCTCGTGCAGGAAGGTGAACATCGCCATGTCCTCAATTTTATCAAACTTTGGCGGGTTCTGGGGGTGGCAGTCAATCTCCTTCACGACAACAGTCTGAAAGAAGAGTAAATTAAGTTTCCACAATGTACGTTTTGTTTCATTTTCAAAGTACAGAAGTATTCTTTTTAATATCAGTAAAGGGAAAACAACATATGTCATTGTATATAGTTGTACATATATTGTTTCCATTGTCTATCCATGTTTAAAACCTTTTATGAAAATATTTACCTTCCCATACTCCGTATCGACTGTGATTTTGTCCCCGTCTCTGGTGGTGATTGTGCCCTTGACGTACTCAACCTCAGGGTCAGGCACATAGCACTCCCTCTTTATGTCAAAGGGTCTAGTCTGGCATTCCATCCTCTCCTTGTCTGGTTTACGCAGAAAGGAAGCTGCCGCCCCAAACTCCTCCATCAACATGTCCCCCATCCTGAAATCTGTACAGAGAGAGAAGAGAGAGAGAGAAGAGAGAGAGAGAGAGAGAGGAAGAAGAGAGAGAGAGAGAGAGAAAGAGGAAAGAGAGAGATAGAGCGAAGAGATAGAGAGATAGATACTGAGACGGAGCCGAAGATCGATATATCTCGCTCGATACCTCTCTCGAGAGAGAATCAGCTCAGGAGAAATGAGAAACCGAGAGCAAGAGACAGAGATCGCTACTAGAGAGCATCTCTCGAGCTCAGAGAGGATCTCTCGCTCTCTCTTTCAGCTTTTCTCGCTCGCTCTCTCTATCTTATCGCTCTCGATCTCTAGCTCTACTCTCTCTCTCCTCTCTCTCTCTCGCTCTCTCTCTTCAGGTTCATTCAAAATATCACATTCTGACATTAGCATTAGCTAGTAAACCTGAACATTTTCTGTAGTTTCTTAGGATACTTTTAAAAATAGTATGTATCCTGTGCAGTCTGAATTGATAAGCAGTTTCCTTTTGTTTTGTTTCACACTGAATGTGTAGTTTAGTTTTTTACTTAATGGACCTTTAGTCTTAGAATTATTAGGTACTAGTTAATACTGTATAAGCTAATTCAATTTGCTCAATTTCAGATTTGCATGAGCTGTCTTTTCACAGATGCTGACATGGTTTATTTTGTGGTAATGCTTTAGGGTGAACTGTTATATGTATGAGCCATTACAATGTTTCATAAATCAACTTATAACATTACGTCTTTCTATGTGGCAAGTTTTGATAGGTTTCAAATGACTGATAACAACTCCGGTTTATTGTAAGATGACACAGTAGCGATCCACGCTAATATGAGTCACGGTGCAATTCCCACCAAGTGACTTAACCCTATTGACGTGATGCGTAGGGGTGTTTGACTCGCACGCCAGCGGCCCCGAGTATTTGCTTCCGTGCCCCACCGTTCGCTACAACACCACATATTATAAGCAGTTCATAGTCACTTATGACACGTCTTATAATGCATTATGATCACGTCATAATAATGCTTGTACGGCTTCAGTAAAGTGTTACCTTTGGCTCGGATTCTCAATTGGTGTCCTTGGCTGAATAACAAGTTGAACCCAAGCTAGAGAGACTGCTATCTTCAATCCTCAACACATGCTCTTGTGAAATGAATTACAAATTAAATCACCGTAATTTCCGGTCAGACATTTGATGGCCCGAATTCAATTAAATTTCAGATTCAGTTAAGGCAAAATGCTCTAAACAACCACAGACACTTGTTCACCTCAACAGCAAAAACTTCAACAAATAAGCAAATGCCTCCCATGACTTCACATATATATGTAGGCCTGTATCTTAGTGAAGAGAGTGTCTACACTCTTTAGTGTAGAAGTTTACGATCCTTACCTGTTGTTGGTCAGCGGTCACCCGTAGAAAGAGTTTGGTGGAGAGGATCTCTACTGAGAATGAAATAGACAAATACAAAAGACCCGACATCAATCACCTGACCAGCTGTACATTGGGCTGATTAGTTAGTGTCTACAACGATGATGTTCCTCAGCAGACTGCCTCTGTGTGCTTACCTTTAGGATAACAGTACGGTGTCTTGTGTCTCCCTGGTCTGTCTCGCTCCAGACCTGCATCCCTCTTTATAAAGGGTGTTGTTCAGCCCTAAATGGAGATGGCCCCATGCAAAAAATGTGTCTGATTATTTTAAAAGATCTGTATTTGGAAGTAGAGGTGTGTATAAGGCAGGCTATCAATGAGGGCAGAGGAGGGGGGACAAAAAACCCCCAGGGTGGGTAACCCTTTGTTGGAACTCATGGGTGGTTCTTGAATTGTGGTGGCATTTCGACTTGCAAATGTCAACTCTTTCTTTACCAGAACTCATTGTACAATATTAGTGAATTTCTCAACATTATTAAATCGACATAAATTATAGCTTTATGAATTTTTAATAATTTTAATAAATTCATTCAAATAATTTTTGTGCTGCCTTTTTTCGTATTCCCACCTTAAATGACAATTCTGGCTTTTTCTCCATAATGTGGTTTTGATTATTATTTATTTGAACTGAAATCAGGTGTAAAGTTGTTGTGCAACATTTGTCTATTTGTTCCATCCTGTTTTTCTTGTTAACAATAACTGAAGGTGAGTCATCAAAATGTAATATTTATATCCTTTAAATGTTTACTTTTGAATAACGTTACAATTAGATTGGTCCCCCACCCAAAACATTTTTTGGGACAGAATGTGGCCCCTCCTATGCCTAAACACAGATTAACCTGTAACACCACTGACACAATATAACACCAATGACTTGACACTATTTTGTAAGAATAATCAAATACAATCTATCTATTCCAGTGAATATAATGCTTTTGTTTAATGAATGGCATTCAAAAGAAACATCTACTCAAAACATGCCACTACACCTCTTCACATCACCATTGGGACAAGACAATTTTGTAGCCCACAATATGTTCTACAATGCATTCAAAAAAATGTTTTGTGTTTTCTTATTAAATAACAGTTCAATAAAATTATCCTTCTATTTACATTTTAAAGTGTTTTTTTTTTACATTGTGCCAAAGTTCAGGCACAGCATTACCACCGCAGTTCAAGAATGACCCTCCTAATTTGGACTGTCACTATAAAATGGCTCCATGTTGACAATAGGACATCTCAAATGATTGCAAGACAACTGCAGCTGTCCTTTTTTTTTTTTTTTTGTTCACCAAGACAAGGTCACCGTCCTTTCCATTGTCACAGAGTAACAGCTAAGGTAAGTATAACCCCCATCTTGTTTTACGCGTCATTGTTCCTTTCCTTTACCCTTGAGGACAAAGATAAACCTGTGAAATTGTTCTTGGATTCCAACTGAGGCACTTCAACGTGCTTGATTGTCTGGGCCATCTGATATTGCAATAGCTGCGGCCTATCTGCAAAGGTCTCACATAAATACATCCAGGCCATACATGAAAGAACATTTGTCACCTTACTCAAGCAACTCATGTTAGGCTTTTTAAGAAGGGATGGGGGGGGGGGGGGGGGGGGGGGTGGCTTCATTTACCTCATGAGATGTCAACAAACCTTTCACCCAGGGCATCATGGCTATGTTCGAAATATAAAATGTATTGTTTGTTTTACACATACAGTGGGGAAAAAAAGTATTTAGTCAGCCACCAATTGTGCAAGTTCTCCCACTTAAAAAGATGAGAGAGGCCTGTAATTTTCATCATAGGTACACGTCAACTATGACAGACAAAATGAGAGAAAAAAAAATCCAGACAATCACATTGTAGGATTTTTTATGAATTTATTTGCAAATTATGGTGGAAAATAAATATTTGGTCAATAACAAAAGTTTCTCAATACTTTGTTATATACCCTTTGTTGGCAATGACACAGGTCAAACGTTTTCTGTAAGTCTTCACAAGGTTTTCACACACTGTTGCTGGTATTTTGGCCCATTCCTCCATGCAGATCTCCTCTAGAGCAGTGATGTTTTGGTGCTGTCGCTGGGCAACACGGACTTTCAACTCCCTCCAAAGATTTTCTATGGGGTTGAGATCTGGAGACTGGCTAGGCCACTCCAGGACCTTGAAATGCTTCTTACGAAGCCACTCCTTCGTTGCCCGGGCGGTGTGTTTGGGATCATTGTCATGCTGAAAGACCCAGCCACGTTTCATCTTCAATGCCCTTGCTGATGGAAGGAGGTTTTCACTCAAAATCTCACGATACATGGCCCCATTCATTCTTTCCTTTACACGGATCAGTCGTCCTGGTCCCTTTGCAGAAAAACAGCCCCAAAGCATGATGTTTCCACCCCCATGCTTCACAGTAGGTATGGTGTTCTTTGGATGCAACTCAGCATTCTTTGTCCTCCAAACACGACGAGTTGAATTTTTACCAAAAAGTTCTATTTTGGTTTCATCTGACCATATGACATTCTCCCAATCCTCTTCTGGATCATCCAAATGCACTCTAGCAAACTTCAGACGGGCCTGGACATGTACTGGCTTAAGCAGGGGGACACGTCTGGCACTGCAGGATTTGAGTCCCTGGCGGCGTAGTGTGTTACTGATGGTAGGCTTTGTTACTTTGGTCCCAGCTCTCTGCAGGTCATTCACTAGGTCCCCCCGTGTGGTTCTGGGATTTTTGCTCACCGTTCTTGTGATCATTTTGACCCCACGGGGTGAGATCTGTGTGGAGCCCCAGATCAAGGGAGATTATCAGTGGTCTTGTATGTCTTCCATTTCCTAATAATTGCTCCCACAGTTGATTTCTTCAAACCAAGCTGCGTACCTATTGCAGATTCAGTCTTCCCAGCCTGGTGCAGGTCTACAATTTTGTTTCTGGTGTCCTTGACAGCTCTTTGGTCTTGGCCATAGTGGAGTTTGGAGTGTGACTGTTTGAGGTTGTGGACATGTCTTTTATATTGATAACAAGTTCAAACAGGTGCCATTAATACAGGTAACGAGTGGAGGACAGAGGAGCCTCTTAAAGAAGAAGTTACAGGTCTGTGAGAGCCAGAAATCTTGCTTGTTTGTAGGTGACCAAATACTTATTTTCCACCATAATTTGCAAAATAAATTCATTAAAAATCCTACAATGTGATTTTCTGGATTTCTTTTTCTCAATTTGTCTGTCATAGTTGACGTGTACCTATGATGAAAATTACAGGCCTCTCTCATCTTTTTAAGTGGGAGAACTTGCACAATTGGTGGCTGACTAAATACTTTTTTTCCCCACTGTAAATAAGTCAAATGTATCGAACTGCATTACACCGCCACTTCTGTACCACTAAAAATGTCACCTTCAAATACCCATTGAAACCTTGAGCTGTGTTCGAATACTCATGCTAACCACATTAACCATCCTATTTGTGAAGTAAATTGAGTATGTAGTATGCTTATTGGTCATGGTATGGCTATAGTTAGTATGCCAAAAGTTCCCGGATGTCGTACTAAATTCGCCAAAATACGAACTATACAAGCAGTGGACACTATTTCTGTGCTTTTAGGACCCATAATGCAATTCTTCATAAAATGGGCGTGGCTTCACAACATTTTCAGATTTGAAGAAAATGGCGGAAAATATGCAGCCGAAGTCCGACGAGAACGGATACAAATTAATCGCTTTAACTAATTATGACAAATGTTAAGAAAATGTTGAGCAATGTAATAAAGCAGACTTTTCAAATAAGTTACGTTGCAAGTTATGTTGGCTAACAATTTGTTAGCTTCCCTATCCTTATGAACCGCACAGCATTACAGCAGTATGTACCGGTATATTAGCTAGTTGCCTAACGTTAGTTGGCTACTAATACATCGAATTACGCTCAACACCCTTTAAATATATGGCTGGTGTCAGTAAACGTTGACAAAAAAAAGCGTAATTAAATTGTTGCCAGCAGCACAGTTACAGTCACCAACGCTCTGGATAACATGAAAACAGCCTAATCAGCTCTGCTAGGGCGAGTAAAATGGTGTTCTCTCATTTGTGTCTGGAAATAGTTATCAAGCTAACCAATGCTAGCCAGTTAGCTTGGGTGCTTCACTGCCTTGTGAGGTCAGAATGCTCGGATCGACCCTACTCCTCGGCCAGAGCGTCCAGTGACGTGCTCCGAGAGCGAAACGCTCTGAATTTACGGACAATCTGACAACGCTCTGGATTTACGAACGCCCAGAGCGCACTCTGAGCGCACTCTGGCACTTCAGATTGAATTTACTAACACACCCAAAATCGTAAAATGTCTAGCTAGTCATTTGTTATGCTAACAAGATAGCAAGAGGTTGCATAGCAACAGCAGGTGAAGCACTAGTATGCTTAACTGAAAGGATACAGTTCGTTTACAGTATACTAAAATGAGCTGATAGCATAATCTCATCAAATCTCATTAAATATGTAGTATACAGTATGTTAGAATGGGTATTCAAACACAGCATTTTTCTCTTGTGATTTATTAGCATCCTCTGTTTAATGTATGCAAGACTACAGTACCCGAAATTGGGCACTAGATTTACTGGTAATTATTGATAATATGTTTACATTATCTATTTTATTAATTTCCCACTGTTTTATAAGTCAGAATAGAAAAACCTAGACAGTTCTAGGATGCTAGTTCGAAGCTTCTCTGTCGAATAAACATGTCTCCATCTGGTGATCGGCTGCGTCATTACATCCATTACGTCAGGTCTCTGCTGCGTCACGTCAAAGGGGCGGTCCTTAGAAAACCAGTTCTACAGATCGACTCGCTCACGACACAGACATGTCTGAGGACTCTCCAGATTCCTCTTGATCTGGTGGATCTAAATATATAATTTATCATAGCTGTAAGATAAAGAATACAACCTACACACTTCCCTAAACCTAAAATAAGTAAAGCAGTCATTTTGTGTGGAAGTAAAACAAAAAACATTTACGTAGGAGGAAGACATGCTTAGAATGAACAAAAAGCGCCCTTTTCACAGCGCATATCCCCTTGTCGATAGGGTTGACACACGCTGTTTAAATTGCCAAAACTTAAGCCTCGTTCACATTACCCATAAGCACTCCGTTACTTTGTGCCGGATATCATGCATTTCAATGGGGACGTCCACAATGGAGTAGAAATGCAACGCTGGCTCCCAGGTGTCTTTTATACAGGTAACGAGCTGAGATTAGGAGCACCCTCTTAAAGGGAGTGCTTCTAATCCCAGTTTGTTACCTGTATAAAAGACACGTGTCCACAGAAGCAATCAATCAATCAGATTCCAAACTCTCCACCATGGCCAAGACCAAAGAGCTCTCCAAGGATGTCAGGGACAAGATTTGTAGACCTACACAAGGCTGGAATGGGCTACAAGACCATCGCCAAGCAGCTTGGTGAGAAGGTGACAACAGTTGGTGCGATTATTCGCAAATGGAAGAAACACAAAATAACTGTCAATCTCTCTCGGCCTGGGGCTCCATGCAAGATCTCACCTCGTGGAGTTGCAATGATCATGAGAACGGTGAGGAATCAGCCCAGAACTACACGGGAGGATCTTGTCAATGATCTCAAGGCAGCTGGGACCATAGTCACCAAGAAAACAATTGGTAACAAACTACGCCATGAAGGACTGAAATTCTGCAGTGCCCGCAAGGTCCCCCTGCTCAAGAAAGCACATATACAGGCCCGTCTGAAGTTTGCCAATGAACATCTGAATGATTCAGAGGAGAACTGGGTGAAAGTGTTGTGGTCAGATAAGACCAAAATCGAGTTATTTGGCATCAACTCAACTCGCCGTGTTTGGAGGAGGAATGCTGCCTATGACCCCAAGAACACCATCCCCACCGTCAAACATGGAGGTGGAAACATTATGCTTTGGGGGTGTTTTTCTGCTAAGGGGACAGGACAACTTCACCGCATCAAAGAGACGATGGACGGAGCCATGTACCGTCAAATCTTGGTTGAGAACCTCCTTCCCTCAGCCAGGGCATTGAAAATGGGTCGTGGATGGGTATTCCAGCATGACAATGACCCAAAACACACGGCCAAGGCAACAAAGGAGTGGCTCAAGAAGAAGCACATTAAGGTCCTGGAGTGGCCTAGCCAGTCTCCAGACCTTAATCCCATAGAAAATCTGTGGAGGGAGCTGAAGGTTCGAGTTGCCAAACGTCAGCCTCGAAACCTTAATGACTTGGAGAAGATCTGCAAAGAGGAGTGGGACAGAATCCCTCCTGAGATGTGTGCAAACCTGGTGGCCAACTACAAGAAACGTCTGACCTCTGTGGTTGCCAACAAGGGTTTTGCCACCTAGTACTAAGTCTTGTTTTGCAGAGGGGTCAAATACTTATTTCCCTCAATAAAATGCTAATCAATTTATAACATTTTTGACATACGTTTTTCTGGATTTTGTTGTTGTTATTCTGTCTCTCACTGTTCAAATAAACCAACCATTAAAATTATAGACTGATCATTTCTTTGTCAGTGGGCAAACGTACAAAATCAGCAGGGGATCAAATACTTTTTTCCCTCACTGTACACCACCGGTCAAAAGTTTTAGAACACCTACTCATTCAAGGGTTTTTCTTTATTTTTTAAAACTATTTTCTACATTGTGGAATAATAGTGAAGACATCCTTGAGGACAAACATAAACCTGTCAAATTGTTCTTGGATTCCAACTGACCACAATGTGTTTGAGTAGGTGCATTATGCCTCGGCTTCCTCCAGGACACATACCATTAACATTTTCACCTTGAAAGACGATATCCCACTGACACCTTGGTAAATAGTTTATCTTGTGATTTATTAGTAGCCTCTGTTTAATGTATGCATTTAACTCAGTCTTAAACCCTGGTTACAATAGTGGTATTAACCAAAGACGTGTTGTGAACTGAGGGTGACCAGATCTTCCTGACCACCTCTGGAGATAGTTGAGGACATGATGCATAACTTACAAGTGTAGAGGATTCTGGACATTCAAATTGTTTAAATTCATTGACCTGTGACAATGGATAATGTAATAACACTGGATAATGTAATAACTTATTATTGTATAATGTAATAAAATTGGATAATGTCATATCTTATTTTTTATAATGTAATAAAACCAGCTAATGTGATAGAAAGCCTGTTAATTTAATGGAACTGTTGAACTGATATGTAACTGTTTCCTGGATAATGTAATACATTATTACATTTTTCTGGTGGTCAATACAATATCAGGTGAGGAACACACTTTTATATAGTGGTTGACGTAGCTGAAATGACAGTTACCTCCTTTGAGACAGTGAAAGTGTGAAGCTGTCTACGAGGCTGTAATGTAGTGGTTGACATAGCCGGAAAGAAAGTTATCTCCTTCGAGACCTGTGTGTGCAGCGGGGTTAGCGCCCTGAATTGTCTCCTGTAAACCCTAGAAGCCCTTTTAGCCTCAACAACTTCACGCCTGTGCCTAGCTTCAGCCTTGAGCCTCTGTAATTAGCGTCCAGAGCTGAACATACCAGACCGTGTCCCTCAATGACACGTTAAGGGTCCCATTCCCAGCTGTCTTGTATGTGTCTGTGGAAGGAGGGGGGGGGGGGGGGGGGGGGGGGGGGGGGGGGATCTGTGCACTTCAACAAATGATATTTATTGAAGGGGTTAAAGGCATAGTTCACCCAAATTACATATTGCTTTCCTTACCCTGTAAGCAGTCTATGGACAAGGTAAGACAGAAATCCATGCTTTTGGTTTTGTTTACCTGGCCACTGTCTCCAAATGCTAACTTTTTTTCCACATTTGTGGCCCAAAACCAATACAAGCCAATTTCACGATATCAGGAAAACCAATGTGTGATTTAGACATTTGTCTGACCTATCCCTTTAAGGTTTTATTTGAGTCTTGCTTGATGTACTTGAACACATGGTCTCACCTTAACCTTTTTTCCCTGTCATCCTTTGTCTCCATAGGATGGAGTGAGCGAAAGAGCAAAGATGTGATACATTATATACTTTATTGTGCCCATCAAGGTTGAACTCCCAGGCGCTCATGGGAAATGAGTGGTTGTCATGTCTGTATCTCCAAGACTGAGAAAACAACCTTGATCTTGATCTTACAGGACCTCACTTCAATGGTATATCTAATTTTGGTGTAGGTGTATTTTATTCCATATTCAAAATAGTTTAAGTTTAAGTTTATTTTTTACAGGGACAGTGCACATTAATCAACGTTTCAGTAAAAGTGCCGGTTTTAGCCAGCCGGCTAATTTTCAACCGCAGTCCCTGGGCAGGTTATTAAAAACAATTACAATATAGACAATAACAACATAGAACAAGACATAGCATACAGACAGAGCAACATAGAACAAAAAGCAGCACGACAAAATTCATAAAAGCAACAAAGTGTTTCCACACCTCACAAGTTACAGACAACAGACATGGAAAGCGGCAACACACAGCTAGGGACCATGTTCACAAATCTGATTGACCTTTAGCCATGTCTTCAAGCATTTTGTGAAAGTGTGATATGTGGTGCAGTTATGTGTGTCTGATGGCAGTGTATTCCAGACATGGGAAGCTCTCACAGAAAAAGCGGATTTACTAAAGGTGCTTTTCCTTAGGGGAACTACACAGTCACCTCTCATGGCAGACCTTGTGGATCTGCTGCCATATGTTTGGGTTTTCTGTTTAACAAAAATACTGAGTGGAGGGGGAGCCAAGCCATTTAGGATCTTGAATACAAGACATGCATCGGTGTATTGCACAAGATTTTCCCAACTCAGGAGCTCATGCTTTCTAAGGATGTGACAGTGATGATAGCTATTGGGCTTCCTATCAAGCACTTTGAGAGCCTGTTTGTAGACAGACTGAATAGGTCTTACTGTTGTACAGCAAGCTTGGGCCCAACTAGCCAAACAGTATGTTAAGTGGGGGAGTATCATAGATTTGAAGTACAGTTTTGCTACCTCTGTAGTCAAACAATTTCGTATAAATCGGAAATTAGCTAGGTTGAATTTGGTTATTTGAATTACCTTTTTCACATGCTTTTTAAAAGAGAGGTTGGAATCAAGTATGATGCCAAGGTACTTAAAATCAGATACCCCCTGGAGCTTCTCCCCTGACACATAGACTTCTGGCTCAGTAGCATCTGTTGCCCTCTTTGTGAAGAACATTGCGAACAGTTTTTTTCACATTGAGATGCAAACACGAGTCACTGAGCCACTTTGTAACCTGGACCATTACAGTAGTGAGTTCTTGTGCAGCTTGTTGTTTGCTCTTTGCATGCACATATATCACTGTATCATCTGCATACATTTGAACTTCAGACCCAGTACAGACAGAAGGCAGATCATTAATGTACAGGCTGAACAGGAGGGGCCCCAGTATTGACCCTTGGGGCACACCCACATCATAGCTAAGAGTGGGCGACAGCTCATTGCTCACTCTGACACACTGAGTTCTGCCTTCAAGGTATGATTTCATCCATCTCAAGGCATCGGGGGAAAAGTTGAACTTGGACAATTTTGTGATGAGAATCTCATGGTTAACAGTATCAAAAGCCTTCCTTAGGTCCAGAAACACAGCCCCAACAACGCCCCCTTTGTCCATCTTGGACTTCACATTTTCCAGAAAAAAGCAGTTGGCCATAGTGTAGGGCCTATGTTGTGAACACAATACACGAGTTCTCATAACTATAGTATAGGGCCTGTGCTGTTATACCTATAGCTAACACAATGCACGAGTTCTCATAACTATAGTATAGGGCCTGTGCTGTTATACCTATAGCTAACACAATGCACAAGTTCTCATAACTATAGTATAGGGCATGTGCTGTTATACCTATAGCTAACACAATACACGAGTTCTCATAACTATAGTATAGGGCCTGTGCTGTTATACCTATAGCTGACACAATACACGAGTTCTCATAACTATAGTATAGGGCCTGTGCTGTTATACCTATAGCTGACACAATGCACGAGTTCTCATAACTATAGTATAGGGCCTGTGCTGTTATACCTATAGCTGACACAATACACGAGTTCTCATAACTTACTAGTTGACGCATGAGAAGCCAGTCAAGAGGTGGGAAGGGTTCAGCCCATTTTGCACCTTCCCCTAGGGGACAATGTGGGAAGTACAAGGAGAACATCCTGAGTTTGCAGCCCAGGTCACACGCGGTCGTTTTTGCGCTTACTGTAGGAAGGGAAAACAGAATAAGTGTCCGCTAGTTGTCTTTCCAAGTAGTCTTTTTAATTTTCAATTACAGGTAAGTAAGTAAAACGTCTTACTCCTTAGTGGGAAGTAGATGTTACTATGTTTACCATCTGTAGTAATGTGTTGTTGATTAGTACAGTAATGTAATTCATGTTTTGTTCAATAAATATGTTGTTGATTAATGTTTGGTTAAATACATATTTTGTTAATTAGTACAGTAATGTAATGGTTTTGTTAAATATTGCGTTGATTAGTACATTAATGTACGTAACGTTTTGTTGAATAAATATTTTGTTGATCAGTACAGTAATTTAATTAACATTTTGTTAAATACATATTTTATTGACCAGTACAGTAATGTAATTGATTCAATAAATTGATCAAGCATAAAACTTTCCGTAGCCTTAAGTGTCTCATTAATGTTGTAAATTACTTTGTGACCCACTAAATAATTAAATAATTAGATGGTGTCTTTATAACAGTAAGAAATGTAGATTAGACCTCTTGCTCAGGTTAGTTGTCCATAATCTTTGACAGGGTTCTTCAATTCCGGTCCTGGAGGGCCGAAACACCTCTGTTTTTCATCCCCTCCTTCTAATCAGGGGCTAATTCAGACCTGGGACACCAGGTGAGTGCAATTAACTACCAGGTAGAAATAAAAAAACAGAAGTGTTTCGGGCCCTCCAGGACCGGAATTGAAGAACCCTGATCTATGACCTAATAATATTAATAAAAACAAACTTCTATCGACAAGTTTTCCTTTGTGTTGAAATATATTCATAATGGTTTTGAAAGTGTAGCAATGCTCATCTGGCTCTTCTGAGGCATGTTGCATGGTTCGACACTCCCTCCGGTGTTAGGTACAGAAATATGGCGAAACAAAAAATGAATTCAGGGGATTTTTGAAAGTAGGGACAATCCCAACTTTTTTTTCACACATATTTTCTGAATAATAAATTTTGAAATATATATTTTTATAGACCAAAGTATCAGCTATCACACGACATGATGTAAAGGAACAACCTCCTAATAAAAATGTATAAATTAATAACAAAAACTACAAACACCACAAAATACATTTTATTTCTATATACAGTACCAGTCAAAAGTTTTAGAACACCTACTCATTCAAGGGTTTTTCTTTATTTTTTACTGTTTTCTACTTTGTAGAATAATAGTGAAGACATCAAAACTATGAAATAACACATATTAAATTATGTAGTAACCCAAAAAGTGTTAAACAAATCAAAATATATTTTATATTTGTGATTCTTCAAATAGCCACCCTTTGCCTTGATGACAGCTTTTCACACTCTTGGCATTCTCTCAACCAGCTTCACCTGGAATGCTTTTCCAACAGTCTTGAAGGAGTTCCCACATATGCTGAGCACTTGTTGGCTGCTTTTCCTTCACTCTGCGGTCCAACTCATCCCAAACCATCTCAATTGGGTTGAGGTCGGGTGATTGTGGAGGCCAGGTCATCTGTTGCAGCACTCCATCACTCTCCTTCTTGGTCAAATAGCCCTTACACAGCCTGGAGGTGTGTTGGAGTCATCGTCAACATCCTCTGCAGCAGAGGTAACTCTGGGTCTTCCATTCCTGTGGCGGTCCTCATGAGAGCCAGTTTCATCATAGCATTTGATGGTTTTTGCGACTGCACTTGAAGAAACTTGAAATGTTCCGGATTGACTGACATTCATGTCACCTTGTCACAACACAACTGATTGGCTCAAACGCATTAAGAAGGAAAGAAATTCCACAAATTAACTTTTAAGAAGGCACACCTGTTAATTGAAATGCATTCTATGTGACTACCTCATGAAGCTGGTCGAGAGAATGCCAAGAGTGTGCAAAGCTGTCATCAAGGCAAAGGGTGGCTACTTTGAAGAATCTCAAATATAAAATATATTTAGATTTGTTTAACACTTTTTTGGGTACTACATTATTCCATATGTGTTATTTCATAGTTTTGATGTCTTCACTATTATTCTACAATGTAAAAAATTGTAAAAAATAAAGAAAAACCCTTGAATGAGTAGGTGTATCCAAACTTTTGACTGGTAGTGTATATTGTCCAACAAGTGTTTAATAAAGAATCAAAGCCTTTAATTCTAACATTATTATTATTATTATTATTATTATTATTATTATTATTATTATTATTATTATTATTACTATTATTATTATTATTCATATATGTAAGAATCTCCAAACATCTTTTTGTTTTATTTTATACCACTGTATAATGCTCCAGGGCTAATTTCCTTAGCATTTAGGCATGTTTTTCTAGATTCAGAACATGAAATAATATTTACAAAGCCAACATTATTATTTAGGTGTAGCACAGCAAGTTCTTTAATAGCTCAAGCATACAATGCAGAACAGGGATTAAAAAGCGTGCTGGTTAAGATTCAGCTCATCCTAGTTTTGTATCAAAGCACCACAGCATTTTCAATTAATTGCCAGAAAAATAGTAGCTACATACATTGACATTTTAGAGACCTTATCAAATCTGAGAAGAAGAAAAAAATCTGATGCCAGAATCCTAAAATATTCAAAGCAATTGAATATATAATATGAATATATATTGAGCACCTTACCTCCAGAGGCCCAGGACCCAGTCAGGAGAGCAGCCTATCTTGTTCTGAGTAGCCTACTTGCTGTGGAGAAGTATTTATATTTGCTGTGGAGGAGCCTGCTAATATTAGCACCTGTCTGCCAGCAAAGACATCAATCACACACTGTCCCATGACAGTCCACAACTCCTCACAATACTGGGTGGTAAATACCACACAGAACCTGCTACAATTTTATTTCTTTACCATTGTGTTAAACCTTTTCAAAATGCAGGTTATTCATCAGAAATACGTATTAGATCTCTTAATTTGTCATCGCAGCTTTTTTTTGCGGTTCACTATTTTCACCATCAATGACCCAAAAGAATGGTATTAACATGATACATAAAGTCCAACTATTTTCCCAACAATGCTTTCCTTGGCAATCATATGATGTGTTGGCATACACTGTGCTCAGAGCTATGGCCACATGATAAAGAGCACTGGTGTCCGTTTTAGTGTCGGTATCTCAGGTTTCCCCACTGCCTCAGTAGAACATGGGATGTAAAGGAGAGTGCAGTTGTAGCTGTTGCTGTCTTTCAACTGGTGCTCTGTCTTTTTGGCACCACATTGTTTCCCTCCCTTTTGTCCTTGAGTACACATTTAACCCAGTTCCTGCTGAGTGACTTGCTTTGATTGAAGGTGGACAGATTACATTGAGTACATTGAGATCTTGATCTAGACTAAGGTCACTATTAAGCATTTGGTCACAGATGAATCCTACCACCTGCCTGATTGGTCAGGTCAGGGACAGGATGGAAACACCTTTAGAGAAACAGCTGGTGACGCGTACAAGGCCCTCTCTTCGGCAAATCAGACCATGACGCTATCCTCTTGCTCCTGTTTACAAACAAAAGCTCAAACAGGAAGTACCAGTGCAGCTTAATACGGAAGTGGTCCGGCAGGTAGCTTAGTGGTTAAGAGCGTTGTGCCAGTAACCGAAAGGTCGCTGGTTCTAATCCCCGAACCGACTAGGTGAAAAATCTGTCGATGTGTCCTTGAGCAAGGCACTTAACCCTGATTGCTCCTGTAAATCGCTCTGGATAAGAGCGTCTGCTAAATGACTAAAATGTAAATGTGTGAAACAGACATGAGGCTACAAGGCTGTTGTCACGAATTCAGCCGAGGCTGCCCCTCCTCCTTGCTCGGGCAGGTTTCGTCGTCACCTAGCCACTACCGCTCCATTTATCATCACTCCATGTGTCTTGTCTTGTCAATCACACACACCTGGTAGTCATTCCCTCATTAGTCTGTGTATAAGTGTTCCCTCTGCCCCCTTGTCCTTTGTGAGTGATTGTGAGAGTGAGTAGCTCCCTTGTGCTAGTTTCTTTTTGACGCTTTACGGTGTTTTCGGTGTTTTACCTCCTGCGCCTGACTCCGTCAATCACACCTCATCACAACTGTTTTTCTAGTCCAGACTGAGATACAGTGAGGGAAAAAAGTGTTTGATCCCCTGCTGATTTTGTACGTTTGCCGACTGACAAAGACATGATCAGTCTATAATTTTAATGGTAGGTTTATTTGAACAGTGAGAGACTGAATAACAACAAAAAAATCCCGAAAAACGCATGTCAAAAATGTTATCAATTGATTTGCATTTTAATGAGGGAAATAAGTATTTGACCCCTCTGCAAAACACGACTTAGTACTTGGTGGCAAAACCCTTGATGGCAATCACAGAGGTCAGACGTTTCTTGTAGTTGGCCACCAGGTTTGCACACATCTCAGGAGGGATTTTGCCACTCCTCTTTGCAGATCTTCTCCAAGTCATTAAGGTTTCGTGGCTGACGTTTGGCAACTCGAACATTCAGCTCCCTCCACAGATTTTCTATGGGATTAAGGTCTGGAGACTGGCTAGGCCACTCCAGGACCTTAATGTGCTTCTTATTGAGCCACTCCTTTGTTGCCTTGGCCGTGTGTTTTGGGTCATTGTCATGCTGGAATACCCATCCACGACCCATTTTCAATGCCCTGGCTGAGGGAAGGAAGTTCTCACACAAGATTTGACGGTACATGGCCCCGTCCATCGTCCCTTTGATGTGGTGAAGTTGTCCTGTCCCCTTAGCAGAAAAACACCCCCAAACCATAATGTTTCCACCTCCATGTTTGAAGGTGGGGATGGTGTTCTTGGGGTCATAGGCAGCACTCCTCCTCCTCCAAACACGGTGAGTTGAGTTGATGCCAAAGACCTCCATTTTGGTCTCATCTGACTACAACACTTCACCCAGTTCTCCTCTGAATCATTCAGATGTTCATTGGCAAACTTCAGACGGGCCTGTATATGTGCTTTCTTAAGCAGGGGGACCATGCGGGCGCTGCA